ATCACTTTCATGTTGCTTTTGCACGCTTGCACCAGAAATTGACAAATTAAAGTGTTGCTTCAAGTCAAAGTCATTCTCAAAAAGTGTGCGGAAAAGTTCACCAAAGGAAATTCATATGCATAAGAATTATTTTTTTTTTTTTGCACTGTCAAAGCGATTATTGGCCAATTTTTCTACTGCATGAAGAAGTTTGGACACCCAATCGCTTTATTTTTCTGTAGCACACATTAACAATGAAAATATGTGGTATTTCATGAGATCCATTGTGCAGTGTGCCGAGTTCATCATAATTTCAGCTTTGAATAATCTAATAATCAGCTACATTTCAATATACATACACACTTATGTGCATACATATATACGTGTTAAAACGATAATTGGCCAGTTTTTCTACGACAAAGAGAAGTCTGGACACCCAATCGTTTCAATTTACTCTTGCACACTTGTACAATGAAATTGATACTTTTAAATCGAATCAAATCCATTCTCCCAGTGTGCAAAGTGATATCAAAGAAAAAATCGAGACCTATCAAACTCCTTCATTAATAGGAAGATACATAGTGTGTGTTCATAAATGCATCAAGTCAAACCATCAGACGTATTTATTTCTAAACTGTAATTGATGGAAATATCCAATATGCGCAACGACGATTAAATGGCTAATTGGAACTTAGTTGCGTAAATAAAGCATTTGCATCCGTTATAATTTAGAAGTAAAAAGAGACTGATGCTTTGGCTCGATGCATTTCTGAACGCACCCATATTTCAATGCTTAATGATGTAAGCGCCATGTCAAAGCGATTATTGGCCAATTTTTCTATACATTAAAGAAGTTTGGACACCCAATCGTTTTATTTTGCTCTTGCACACTTTCACAATGAAAATATGTAGCGTTTCATTAGATTCATTGTTAAAAAGTGTGCGATTGAGCCTTTAAATTTCTTCTAAAAAAAATAAACAAATTGGTGCTATAAATACATCTATGTATATCAATTTACATATGTAAAAAAATTAGATTGTACCATTGCAGCGCGTACTTATATCTAGTTGTATCCATATATGTATGTATACTTATATATATGATACTTTTTTTTTGCAATAATCAATATGAATAATACCATTTCACTTACTTGCTTTCAAGTCCACCCTTTTTGAGAGCTTGTACCAGATATGAAATGCCCTTCTCTTGTTTGAAAGCGACAAATACCTCGATAAGGAAGTCGATAGCAATGCCATCCTTAATTAAATGCTCGTTGTTCAATACCAACAGAACATTCGGGGGCACAGAACCATTAACTGCAACAATAATCAGACATCACATAATCAAATATCAGTAATAAATATAAAAAAAAATTTGGTGCTTTCTATTTAAATGTTATTGGGTTTGTGTCTTTTGCCTCTAGTAAATAATTCAAAAGTCAGTACGCCAAAATAAATTAATATTCCAACTATTTAATAGTCTTCGCATAAGGTACATGCTGTACAAAACTGCTAAACCAAATTTGGATAATTGGAATGTGTACAATTAAAATAAAACAAACACCAGCATCTACTGCTACTTACCTAACCAGAGCGCTGTCATACGCGCAAGTTTGGTGCGTTCACTCGGAGTAAAACCTTTAATGAATACCAACACCTTTTTCATTTCCTCTTCGAACATCTTCTCCAAGTACTTATATCGACGCATGAGCTTGACGAATACCTGCAAAGTAAAAAAAAAAATAAAAAAATCGTCAGTTAAACACATACACACATATTATCTTTTTCACAGTGAGACTTAACTCAAATTCGGTAGGTAACTATCATTTAAAAATCATGTTCCTCTTGTCGCAACATAAGAAATCTTTGATTTGCACTATGTTGAAACAA